TATTGTCCTATCTAATTTTCTCAAGGAACATAACAGTATCTTTTGGAGCTAGATAGAAAAGACATTTTTTATTGCAATTTAAGTGATGAAAAAACTGGTACCAAAGATACACAGCTAATTAATGGCAGAGTTAAGAACAGTACCTATGAATCCTGTCATAGTCCCAGGCTCCTGCTGCTCCCCATGGGGCCTCCTATGTAAGTGGTGTTGTTCTTACAAGAAGAAATTGTGCATTAATCCAGCATCAATGGAACATGGGTTTGTAACTGGACATTCTCAGGAAAGAGACAGACTGAAGCTAATCCTGTGTCTGTGTCGTAGCTGTGCAGTGCATCAGGGGCACTGTCTTACATGTTCAAGGAAAACAAGGATGAGTGGACCTCATCCTTGTGACAGGCTAACCAGCAGAGTTAGACAGGCACCATTAAGATTCAGAATTTTCTTCCAGTAACCAAATGACACCTGAAGGCTTGGCTTGGAGCATGTTGCTGTGGGAACCAGTGCCATAGGCTCAATGCCACCATAAACTAGTGAGTAATATTCCAGTCTATGACCACTGACTATATCCTAGTATACAGAATGATGTATACAGTAAGTGCTCAGTAAATGTGCATTGGGTTGAACTGAATATTATTATTCAGCAGTGACAATCAGCAAAAAGAAGGTGACAGCAAATATAATTATCACCAGCACTACACCCAGTAGAGAAAACACAGTCCAGTGGGAACTAGCTTTCTGTTTTATTCTAGAAGACTAAACTGTAATCCCCCAAACACAAACACACGCCAGACTGTTAGCTCTGCAGATGAGGGAACCATATCTTATTTATCTCTGTGTCCCCAGAATACCTAGCACAGAGCCAGACACATTTGAAGTGTCAATGTTTTTTGAATTGAATTATATTTGCTCGGCTGGCGTGGGAGTTAAAAAGATGTTGACTAGTAATTCACCATTCCCTTCCCTGGAAGCTCTGTAAATCAAGCTCTTAAAAAAAGCACAAGCTACATTCCAAAACCCTCTCGTAGGAGAAATGCCCACGGCTGGTGGGGTCTGGACTATGTCCACCAAATGTGCAGATCTCTTCTGCACAAACATCACTTACTCCCAAGGGAGCCCCTGACTGGCTGACTGGCTGTGGAGACTCACACATTCCCTCTTTCCCAATGGCAGGCAGGTCAGGGGAAAGGGGTGGGAGTTGGTGATGAAGCACTGCTGAACTAAATGTTCTCCTCTTCCCAGGAGAGGGAAAATCTCCAACAGTAGGAGTGTTGGCACTTTTCTAGAGGAACAACCATAAAGAACATGGGATGTAGCTGGAAATGATCTTTTGTGAAGACAAGTTTCTTTTTTAAAGGGCCACCCTCATCTTCTCTCTTACCTTAGACTGGAGCAGCACTATTGGAATGGCTTTGTCAGAGCTGCTAGAATCCTACAAGCTGGGATCAAAGTTGACTGGGCAGGTGGAGGCGTAAAATGGGATATGGGCTGAGCAGCCATTAGGCCAAGATCCTCACTTTTTTCTAAGTTTATCTAAGAGCAGCAACAAAACAGAAACAAAAACAAAACAGTATTTGCTAATAAGGTCTTTTCCTTAAATGCACTGAGCTGGGTTTGAAGAAACTGGAATGGAGAATACTGGTTTTTCTGGAAGACAATCAAAACACAACTCATGAATCCCCTAAGCTTTCAACAAACTCTCTTGAAGAGTTAATCACAACGTAAAATCCACAAGTTTTTACTGGCAATGTTCGGTCATCAACTGCACAACTCTCTGAAGTGGCAACCAGTATGACTCCCAGGTCTGTCTCCATTACCCATTCCAGAGCCTGCTGGCAAGGTCTGTTTGGTGCCCTGGTCTAGCCTAGGAAATTTTTTCCAGGGTCAAGTTCTCCCAGCTATCAAGTTCTCAACTTACAAGGTGCAGAATTTATTAGCACAAAGAACGATAAAAAGAAAGCCTGAAGCCTGCTACCTTAAGTGCTTTTACACTTTATCAGAGTGTGATGTTTCTAGGAATACAGCTGCCCAGCTCACTTGAGCGGTTGTGCTGAATCACTGGGACTTACTTTAGCTTGCCATGAACTCATGTGAGCTCTGCTGCCACCACCTATCAAGTGAGGTCTCTTGTGCTGGGCTTGTAAAGGAAGTCCCCTGCAACAACACTCATTTGGGGAGAACCAATGCCATGAGGACTTGCACCTTTAACCTACACACAGCCAGCAAAGGTGCACAGAGAACTGATATGGAATCCAGGTTTGTCCAACTCTGGAAATCAAGCCTGTCTAGTCACCCGAAGACCATCTTTTTTTAGCTTAAGGTTTTCTTCTCTCCAGGTCCTTAAGATGCCCATTTCCATCTCCAGACCCAAATGAAGCAAGTATTGGCCTCAGACCACAGGACAGACACCAAAGAGTACCTCAAGGAAGAGAGAAGACAATCAGATGTAGAACTAACTACAAAACTCTGAGAGCCCCAGCTCCTTGTACTTGTCTGACCTTGGACAAGCCACTTAATATCTTCACAGAGCCTTAGTTTCTCTTCAGCAAAATAAATATAAATAGTTCTACTTCTCTCACCAGCCTGTCTTCAGAGCAATTACGACCAAGTGCAATTACCTTGTTTATATGTTTATTTATTTTCCATTTTTCACTATGCTTCATTAGCTTATAAGCTCCAAGGGTTCAGGAACCTTGTCTGTTTGGTTCATCAGAGAGGCCCTCTGCCAGGAATAATTATCAGCATGTAGTACATGATCAGGAGGAGTGAATGAAATCTGAATGAGGAAGGGAGGGGATAAAGGCAAGAAGGGAGGACAGAGAAGAGGGAGGACAGCGTATATGGAGCATTATTGAGGTACCATATATGAAAGTGGTCTGTACATTATTATTACAACTACAAATAACAGCTGATGCATTAATTATACTAGATCTTTTAAAAATATAAGCTAGATTGTATTGCTTCCCTGCATAAAACCCTCCAGTGGCTTTTCATACTACATACAATAAAGTCAAACTCCTGTTAACTGACAAAGCCCTATGTGATCTATGTGGCCTCATGTCCAACCAGTCTCCCCCTTCTCTGTCAGGCCCCCATCACTCTGGTGTCCTTGTGTTTCCTCAAACATGCCCAGTCCATTCCTGCCTTGGAGGCTTTATGCTAGCCCCTTCCCCTACCTGAAAGTTCCTCTTCAAAATCCGCATGGCTGGTTCCTTGTCATTGGGCTCTTGCCTTAAATGTCACCTTCTCAGAGAAGCCTTCCTGTACACGCATTCCAAAAGAGCCCATACTATCTTCTTGTTCTAGTACTCTATTATTTGTTTATTCATTTATTTATTATTAATCTCCTCCCCAGTGCCTGATGGGTCAATAAATATTTATTTTTGTATGACATTGTATTTGCTTAATGCTGACACCTCATAGAGACTTTTCTAATTATTTTGTTTTATCTCTACAAGCTTATGAGCTCAAATAAACAAACTGAAAATTCCCTCTGCACTGTACATCAGCTTGCCTTCCCCCCCCGGCCCCCAAACACACACACTTTCAGAGAGGTATCCCGGCCTGTGAACAAAAGCGACTGTGCTAATCAGTTTTAATACTTGTGATTTGACTGGAGTTATGTACAATCAGTGATATAATCATTACCGAGTACTCTAATCTAGAGGGATTCTTTGGAGACATGAAAATGGTACTGTTGGGTGCCACACTGGTTTCTGTTCTGGGTTTGGAGGCCTCCTGGCTCAGGGCAGGGGTGAGAGTGAGAGGAATACAGGGTAGAAATAGGCAGAAGGAAGTAAATGGCAGACACTCACTGATTCCACTTGGGTTTGCTTAGTGTGAACCCAAGGGCAGCACTAATTCTGTTGGAAGAGCACTGGATAGGGTGCAGGGATGGGTTCTAGAGCTGGCTCTACATCTCCCTTCCCCTCCTCCTACCTGGACTATCAGCTCCTCTGTTTTTGTTTTTTTCATTTGTTTTTCATTTATTTATTTTTGAGAGAGCTTGAGAGAGAGCGTGAGCACAAAGTGGGGAGGGGCAAAGAGAGAGGGAGACGCAGAATCCGAAGCAGGCTCCAGGCTCTGAGCTGTCAGCACTGAGCCTGACATAGGGCTTGAACTCAAGAACCTCGAGATCATGACCTGAGCCGAAGTCGGCTGCTTAACTGATTTAGCCACCCAGTGCCCCTCAGTTCCTCTGTTACCGGAGATGCGACCGGATCTCCTCAAAGGGGAACCCCAGCTCTCATAGTCTGTGAGCTAATGAGAGGAGTCTGACCTTTCTCCATGACCACGATGTCTGTGAAAAGGATAATCCATGTAATATTTCTGATGAGTGCAGCTTTCTGGACAAAGTGGGATCTCTCTGATTGGTCAATACAGGCATGAACCAAACGAAGTTCTCTGCTCCTGCCATTCTTCTTTAGCCTTCCTTTTCCCAGAGAAGCTGGTTTTCTGGGAAAATCCCCTCATTATCACATAGGGATCAACACCTAACTGTAAGTGCACTTAAGCCACTCCCAAGAGATGGGTTCATACTGCATCTGATCATGGCCAACACGCACCCATCTGCTTTCAACATGTTGCATCTGACGTTAACTAATGTCTCCTATTAGCATTAAAAGAAAACAATCTGGAAAAATTCACTCTCAAGCAGAGTTCAAACAGGCCACAAGTAGATGTGGAATCTCAACTGCACAAGGTTTGTTTAAATAATGGTAGTAAACAAATATATAAATATATAAAAATTCATATACATATATAAATGTATATATGTATATACACACATGCATATTACATAGGTGTGTATATATAGATGTGTGTAGTGAAGCCAAAAGTCTGTGAAATGGGTCAAGAGAACAAAGACATGAATGCTTTTGTCCAATTTATGAAATTAACAGGTAACAGAGGGAGGAGAAAAATTCTCCCACTGTGGAACAAGGTATAGTCAAAACAACTGAATCACATGGAAAAGGAGTTAGGAATCTTTATCTCACACTTACTGGTAATGGGTTGAAATTCTGGTCCACAAGGTGATTGTATCCATGGTCAAAAAATGAGTGTCGTATCACAACGTCAATGCCCTGATTGGCCAGCATTCCTAAAGTGTTCAACCATCTAAAAATCAGGAAAAAATGCTACATCAATACATCTTAAAAGTGCCATATAACAAGCTTTGTCGGGATTGGCTAACACACATGCATATACACCAACACCCACCATGAAATTTACCTAGTACTTTAAAGAAGATTATTTTAAGCAGTGAGTACATAGCTGGAAGACACTTTAGGGATTTTCAAATCCAGCCTCTTCATTTTATAGGAAAAGAAGCAGAGATCCAGAGGAGGAAAATGAATTGCCCTTGGTCATAGAATATTTTGTTGCTAATGACTTACTCCTATAAAGAAGTAAAATTAAAAAAAAAATGAACTAACTAAAATGAATACCGTAGTCACTTGTAAGCCTAATTATCATCCCCCCACCCCCTGGCCATGGGACACAATCACAGGAGCATGCACACCATACTCTCTGTCACTCAAACTCCTCTGCTTGCACCCTATCACCATACATGTACCTTTCCTGGGACTCTAACATACTCTTATGACCTATCGGTTCAAGAAGGGGTCAGCCATTTGCATCCCTCATATATCACTGTCAACAGTCAATAAAATAATAATTTTCCTTGGCACTATAATTAACCATGCAGAGATTCAAGTATGCTACCATTACACATATCACAATTAAGGACCTGCATTGTTCACACATTATCACATATTCCACTATGCCAAATACCCACTTTCCAGGGCATGCTATCCTTCAAAAGTACTTCCCTCTTGGTTCTTCCAACACCCACTGCTAACTCTGCCTTTATTATTTTTTTATTCAATTTGTTCACTCATTCACTTATTCATTTAATTTTCTTCTGTATTCCAAATTCTGAAACTTAGGGAAATTTCTAATTGTAAGAATATATGTAAGATAAATGTGACTGGGAGCTTCAGTCTTCCATTGTAAAAGATAGGCATTTCACAATCTTTCCTGAGCATGCACATGAGCCTATAATCTGTACCTCTTCTCCCCTCTGCTCTCACCCTAAATTCCATTCCCTGACTCTAAAACTATTCTTGGCTGCCCCAAACAAGCATGCTTTGACATACTCACCTGAGTCTCCACACATGTTTTAACTTCTGCTTAGAATTCCCTTCCTCTCCTTCTCTAACCCACCTTATCTGGCAAATTTCTTCCCATCTGTTAACATGTCTCCAAGTCAAGTGCCATCTCCTTCCAAACCCTGCTGGTACAGAACAGTAGTACCTTTTTCCTCTGTACCTTCCCAGAACTCTTATTTATACCCTCTGCCTGCCCACGATAATTTCTTTCTTTCTTCTCTGCTGTCTTCCAGTTGGTTATGAGCTAACTGAGAACAGACACAATGGTTTAGCTTTGTACCCAAAACACTCATCTCAGTTCCTAGTGTAATGTGGGTGCTTCACACTCTGTTAAGCTGACATTGATCTGGACAAAATTAGATTGGAGGAACTTTGAGAATCAGCATTCAGCATACTAGGGACAAATTATGCATAGTTATGATTTCCCAAATTTGAAACCATATGTAATGCCAAACCAGTGACTTGTAGAATTAAGCTTTTTCTTTACTAGAATAAAGCACATTGCTAATTTTTATGTTATGAATGAATATTATTAGCATTTTAAAATCTGTTTCACATTGACAATTATTTTATTCTCATAAAAACTAAGAAATATTTACTGATAATTAGAGTTATAAAAACAAAACAAAGAAAAATGCAAAAACAAAAGTTTTAAATCAAAAAGAAAATCCAACAATTATATAATAGAACTGTTGTTGTTGTTGTTGTTGTTGTTAAGACTGGGACACTGTGACCCGGGAACTGAAATTACTTTGGGAATATCACATGGCTAAGCTATTTGCCTTTATTATTCTTATTAATTTACCAACCCCATTTGGTTTTTCCTTTAGCCACTGAGACACATATTAATGTCCTGGGGTAGAACTATCACGTGAATTCTGGACTGATGCCTCCTAAGTCAGTGCTCTTTCCACTAATGTAGCACAAATACAATAGGATTTATATCTAACAAGTATTTATCTATAAAAACAAGTATGTCTAATTCACCCTTCTATCCCTATGCTTGCTGAATGAAGAAATGAAATGATAAGTAAACACATAATCACATCTAGCCGCAGCTGGATATCAATGTATTTTGGAATTTAAAATATTCCATTTGTTCATTCATTCATTATTCATTCAACAACATTAATTAATCGGCTGTAAATGCCAGACCTTGTTCTCAGCATTGAGGATAGATACGAAAATGCTTGTGTGACCATGTAAGTCATTTGTAAAGCACTGGGTATGTAAATACCTGTATTCATTTATACAAATGTATAAATTCCTATTTGTGACCTCTGCAGACCCTATAACAGTGATCCGCAAAAAATATATACTCAACAAATGAATGCTAACTAGTAAATCTGGCTTGTCTTTGTTGTTGATGTTGTTTTCCTAGTATGGGCAGTTTTTGAAGGAACTCTAAAGTGAGAGAGAAGAATATACATCCTCCTTTCCAAACCCATATCCTCTATGCACGTTCTGGTCTGGAGCGTTCAAAAGGACTATAGGCAGAACCTCTCCTTCCCCGTACTCTTCAGAGTGGAATGGTTTGTACTTAAGTTGTCTTCTTCTTCCTCTTGTAAATACTAAGCACTCTGACAGGGGAAATAAATGGTGTTCCAAGTCTCCCTTTCATGCACAAGTATAGAAAAGTGGCAAGATGACTGGTATATCCCACCAAGGATACTACTGCGGCCATTATTTTCCATTCCACAAAAGTTTATTGAATATCTACTGGGTGGCAGACACTACTAGGTGCTAGAGACACAGTAGTGTGCCAAGGGTATATCTGTGGTGCATCAGAGAATCACAAAGCCCTAACTGGGAAAACTACCCTTGAATACTTGGCAGCAGAGAATTCTGCTTCATGCATAAACATTCAAGTGTCCTGGCAAGCTCTCAGTTATGCCATATATGAAAAAAAGCCTGAAAGGTGCCTTTTTCCAAGGAATCTTGCTAGTCTTCTGGAGCTTCTTAGAATGTTTCAATTCCCCCCTCCCCTCCAGGAAGCAATTTACGTCCCTTGGAGAACTAGACTCGAAGGACACTTGGCTGGGTGCTGCCAGCAGAGGTGAGAGCAAATGGGTGATAAAGAGGTAAGAGAGAACCAGGAGCCAAGTGAGCTAGTTTTCATTTGATTTGTGTCAACCACACACTGAATACCTGAACTACAACCTAACCCTGAACAACTCTGTTGATCTGGATTTATTGCAAAGTGACCACAGAGATCTATGGATATTTGGCTGGTGCTCAGATATCTTTCCAGTCCCCCCCCCCCCCCGCCCCGAGGGGCTGTGGTGTTTCTCATTTCACATCATTCCCTAAAGGGAAGAATGCTCAGGAAAACAGTTACAACTGGGCTGCTTGCTGGCCCTGCAGCGAAGTCTGTCTACGATGGTTGCGCAAAAGCCATTCCTCTGCTGATTCTCAGAGGCCCCTCCCTGCCATACTAACTGCCACTGGCTTCTCATCCTTACCCCACGGCTCACAGTGAAACCTGGTGGGAAGCGTATTATTGAAAGAAGACTCTCAGAACCACTGTATCAAATGCTGATTCATTCCATTTCATTCATTTGAACCATGCTCACTGAACAACTGCTCTGTGCCACTCAATGGTAGGTGCTGAGAACACAAGAATCGAAGACACAAGGTATCATCATATATTTTACTGACTCATTATCTTCATCTGCATGTGCCAGGATTCCATCTGCAAAGACAATCTGCTTGACTGGCTTGATTTGTCTTTTATAAATGTATTAAAATAAGCCTTAATGGAGGGAAACTACGAGTGTATAATTAGGAACAGCTGTTAGTAGTGAAACACAAAGCTCAGGGCTTTGTGAGCTCACTTCTTAGGAGGACCTTGCTCAGACAAAACAAAACAAAACAAAACAAAACAAAACAAAAAAACAAAAAAACCCCACAAAAAACCAGGGCCACAGGACTAGAATGGAACAGGAACAGGGCATTTGGTTAGTCTGTGGTCCTGAGGGGTCTGTCCCTGCCACATGATGCTGGCAGGCCAGTCAGAGCCCTTTACACTTCTGGTGTTAAGTCCTTCAGAAAACTGCAGTAGCCTTCAAATCCATTTTCCCATCTCCTGCCTCTCCAAACTCTTGTGCATACTATTCTCAGAGCCAACATTTAAAAACACAGGTCAGATGGTATCTCTTCCTCCAAAATCTTCAATGGCTTGCCATGGAGTATAGAACAAGGCTTCATTTCCTCTGCCTGGCTTTCAAGGCCTTCCATGCTTGATGGAAAACTCCTCCCTTGTCTCAACCCTCACTACATCCCTGTAGCTACTGAGGCTATCTTCACACGAATCATTTCCCCTCCCCTGTGCCTTTGCCGGAAATGTTCCTTCTGCCTAGCATGCTCTCCTCCACTATCACCACCATTCTCCACCTATAGAAATTAGAGTCATCTTTCTATGTCCCACTCAAATGCCACTTTGTCCATGAAGCCCTTCCTGATCTTCCCAGGGACAGAAACTACTGTTTCCTTTGCATGACTACCACTGCTTTTGAAGCAGAAAGGAAGATGGTCTAAGGTAGTGGCAAAGAGGCTTGACTCTGAAGCAGATTGCCTGGGCTTGAGTCAAAGCTCTCATATCTATGGGGCGCCTGGGTGGCGCAGTCGGTTAAGCGTCCGACTTCAGCCAGGTCACGATCTCGCGCTCCGTGAGTT